CAATGGGAGCCCCAAAAGTCATTCCATTCACTAATGGAGAAAGGGAGGCCTAGCGGGGCATCATCGGCTGCGCTAGAACCCAGAATAGCCAGAGCAGCCTCCTGATGATGTTAAAAAGGAACATGGCAGAGTGGGACCCAGTGGTGGTGGTGGGGGGTGAAACATCTTTCAGTGGAGATCAGCTTAATTTTAAAAGTTGGTTGTAAAGGCTAAAGTTTTTTTTTTTATCTTTAATGCTTTCTCTGACTCCTGCTGCTGTCAATCAAATCCAGTGACGAGAAAGCAGGGGGCGGCGCCAAGACACACTGTATGTGTTAATAGATGCACACAGTGCAGCTCGGGGTCAAGTCCACACAAGTGCCCCTATAGCAAGAGGCCTGCTGTGGGGGAACATAGAAGGTAGGAGGAGCCAGAAGCGCCAGTGGAGGGCCCAGAAATCAGGGCAGCTCTGTGTAAAACCATTATAAAGTTACCAAGATAACTTAAAAAAAAAAAAAAAAACAGGAAGGAACCTTTACAATAACATTTAGTAGTAGACTTATACAACAGAATAAAGTTAGCCAACATTTCTGACTTATTTTTGAAGATTCATGCATCAGGTTTGTTGTTTATTTGTATCCCTACATAAGGAGTCGCTGCTCTGAAAAAGCATTTATTTATCAAGTGTCCCGATACCTCATATACATGTGCCCGTTCAAGGACAATGACCCACCAATTAGAAATGGAATGATAAAGATAACAGGTCTGCAACTTGTAACCTCAGAAACAAGTCAGCAATAGCAGCTTCTATAATAGATGTGCCCTGATGAGCAATTTCCTGCAGCAATGGGACATAGACCTACCACTGCAATAAAAATGGCAAGGCGACCGAACCGACTACAGGAGATGCAGACATGGCACCCTCTATCTTCAAGAGGGGGGACTGGCAGGATCAGCAGATATTAACCACTTAAGCTTCGGCCTAATTTCTTCATGAATGTAGGCAAAAATGTAAAAAATGTTCTGCTACATGTCTTTAGTAAAAAAAAAAAAAAATCCCAACAAGCGTATATTAATTGGATTGCATGGAAATTACAGTGTCTACAAACTATGGGATATATACTAGAAATTTTATTTAATACTAGTGACGGTGTAGATCAGCGACTTATATTGTGACTGCGACAGTGCGGGGGTAAACTGACACTGACCTCACTAGTGACACCAATACAGTGATCAGTTATAATAATATACACTGTACTAATGACACTGGGAAAAGGTTAACAATCAAGGGCCAACTGTGAGCCTAACAATGTGTAATGTGTTTACTGTGTGATGTTTTCACTAAGCAATGTGCCGTTTTTCACTCCCTGCTACACAGAGCTGTCAGCAGAGAGCTCTGTGCTTTGTTGTTTTTTTTTTTTTTTTTTTTGCTAACACATAGCTCTCTTCTGTCATTCGCTCCACAGATCAGCGGGTCCAGGAAGTAAATCATTGGCAGGGACCAGGTAATTTGCATGTGTTGGAGCGACTGACAGCACAGCCAGGGCAATGAATGCATGCCCCCACCCGGAAAGTCGACTTGCCACAGTATATACAGTGAAGGAAATAAGTATTTGATCCCCTGCTGATTTTGAATATTTGTCCACTCACAAAGAAATGATCAGTCTAAAAATCGAATGGTAGGTGTACAGTTGTGTTCAAAATAATAGCTGTGTGTTGAAAAAAAAGTGAATAAAGCTCAAAATCCTTCTAATAGCTTTTATTTCCATACACACAAATGCATTGGGAACACTACACATTCTATTCCAAATCAAAACATGAAGAAAAATATCAAATTTGTGTTGTTTCTCTAAAAAAAATTGAAGAAAAGTGAATATTAGACTGTTCAAAAAAAAAAAAAATAGCAGTGTTTGTATTCTTCTTTACAAACTCAAACATTCACTATATAAGCTGAAAAATGTTTGAAGATTTTGCTTTCCTTTGAATCACTTAATATTTAGTTGTATAAGCACTGTTTCTGAGAACTGCTGTACATCTGTGTTGCATGGAGTCAACCAACTTCTGGCACCTGTGAACAGGTATTCCAGCCCAGGATGATTGGACTACATTCCACAGTTCTTCTCCATTTCTTGGTTTTGCCTCAGAAACTGCATTTTTGATGTCACCCCACAAGTTTTCTATTGGATTAAGATCTGGGGATTGGGCTGGCCACTCCATAACGTCAATCTTGTTGGTCTGGATCCAAGATGTTGCACGTTTACTGGTGTGTTTGGGGTCGTTGTCTTGTTGGAACACCCATTTCAAGGGCATTTCCTCTTCAGCATAAGGCAGCATGACCTCTTCAAGTATTCTGATGTATTCAAACTGATCCATGATCCCTGGTATGCGATAAATAGGCCCAACACCGTAGTATGAGAAACATCCCCATATCATGATGCTTGCGCAACCATGCTTCACTGTCTTCACAGTGTACTGTGGCTTGAATTCAGTGTTTGGGGGGTCGTCTGACAAACTGTCTTCGGCCACTAGAACCAAAAAGAACAATCTTGCTTTCATCAGTCTACAAAATGTTGCGCCATTTCTCTAGGCCAGTCAATGTGCTCTTTAGCAAATTGTAACCTCTTCAGCACATGTGTTTTTTTCAAAATTGGGACTTTGAGGGGGCTTCTTGCAGATAGCTTGGCTTCACATAGGAGTCTTCTAATTGTAACAGTACTCACAGGTAACTTTAGACCTTCTTTGATCTTCCTGGAGCTGATTGTTGGCTGAGTCCTTGCCATTTTGGCTATTCTTCTATCCATTTGAATGGTAGTTTTTCGCTTTCTTCCATGTCTTTCAGGTTTTGGTTGCCATTTTAAAACATTTGCGATCATTTTAACTGAGCAGCCTATCATTTTCTGCACTTCTTTATATGTTTTCCCCTCTCCAATTAACTTTGTAAACAAGGTACGCTGTTCTTATGAACAATGTCTGGAACGACCCATTTTCAGAGAGAAATGCACTGTAACCAGCATGTACAACATTTGCTGCCTTCCTTAAATAAGGGCAATAATTGCCACCTGTTTTTCAAAGAATGAATGACCTCACTAATAGAACTCCACACTGCTATTATTTTGAACATGCCCCTTTCAATTAGTGATTCAATGACACAGAATCAGCAGCATGCATGTCATGACTGTTGGGTCTGTTCGATTTCTACTACACCTGCTAGTAAATTATTTGCCATGTAGAATATATAATTTCTACGAAAAAACAGTGATTGATCAGGTTAGTGGTGTCTGCCTGCTATTTTGAACACAACTGTATTATAACACAGAGACAGAATAGCAACAAAAAATTCAAAAGAAATGCATGTCTAACAAATGATTTGCATGGTCATGAGGGAAATAAGTATTTGATCCCCCATCATTCAGCAGGATTTCTGGCTACCAGGTGTCTTTCATACAGGTAACAAGCTGAGATTAGAAGCAGTCTCTTAAAGGGAGTGCTGCTAATCTCATTTTGTTACCTGTATAAAAGACACCTGTCCACAGGAGCAATCAAATAATCAGATTCCAAACTCTCCACCATGGCAAAGACCAAAGAGCTGTCCAAGGATGTCAGGGAAAAGATTGTAGACCTACACAAGGCTGGACTGGGCTACAAAATGATCGCCAAGCAGCTTTGGTGAGAAGGTGACAACAGTTGGTGCAATCATTCGCAAATAGAAGAAACACAAACTCCCTAGGTCTGGTGCACCATGCACGATCTCACCTCGTGGAGTGTCAATGATCATGAGAACAGTGAGGAATCATTCCAGAACAACACGTGAGGATCTTGTCAATGATCTCCAGGCAGCTGGGACCACAGTCACCAAGAAAACAATTGCTAACACACTACGCTGACAAGGATTGAAATCCTGCAGTGCCCTCAAGGTCCCTCTGCTCAAGAAAGCACATGTCCAGGCCCATCTGAAGTTTGCCACTGAACATCTGAATAATGAAGAGGGGAACTGGTGGAAAGTGCTGTGGTCAGATGAGACCAAAATCGAGTTCTTTGGCATCAACTCAACTCGCCGTGTTTGGAGGAGGAGGAGGAATGCTGCTTATGACCTCAAAAACACACCATCCCAACTGTCAAACATGGTGGTGTAAACATTCTGCTTTGGGGGTGTTTTTCTGCTAGGGAAACAGGACAACTGCACCGCATCAAAGGGACGATGCATGGGGCAATGTATCGTCAAATCGTGGGTGAGAACCTTCTTCCCTCAGTCAGGGCATTGAAAATGGGTCATGGATGGGTGTTCCAGCATGACAATGACCCAAAACAAATGGCCAAGACAACAAAGGAGTGACTAGAGAAGAAGCACATTAATGTCCTGGAGTGTCTTAGACAGTCTCAAGACCTTAATCCGATTGAAAATCTGTGGAGGGAGCTGAAAGTTCGAGTTGCCAAACGTCAGCCACCAAATCTTAATGACTTGGAGAGGATCTGCCAAGAGGAGTGGCCAGAATCCCTCCTGAGATGAGTTTAAACCTGGTGGCCAACTACAGGAAATGTCTGACCTCTGTGATTGCCAACAAGGGATTTGCCACCAAGTACTAAGTCATGTTTTGTGAAGGGGATCACATACTTATTTCCCTCAGGAACATGCAAATTGGTGCATAATTGTTAGACATGCATTTCTTTTGAATTTGTTGTTGCTATTCTGTCTCTCAGTGTTACAACACACCTACCATTCAATTTTTAGACTGATCATTTCTTTGTGAGTGGGTAAACATTCAAAATCAGCAGGGGATCAAATACTTATTTCCTTCATTGTATACATGCAGCGGTCTGCAACTGGTTAAAGAGGAAAAAAAGGCTCTCAGTAAAGAACAAGCTAAATTTACCCTCAACAACATAACCAGACAGATACATGTGATATGGATTTTTGGAGTAACATACAGTTTAAATTATGCATAGTTTATAAACTGGTAAAATAACGTGCTGATCTAGCGCCTTCTGGTCACAAAGACATAGGTTGTCCTAGGAAAGTATATTCAGTACCTGGAAGAGTTGGCCTTGTCTTGTATCCCATGCAGACAGTCTCGGAGAGATGTCAGTAGTACACGACATCTATCATCATTGGCTACACGAGATTCCTTGATAACAGCTATTGCTGTTTCTAATGTTTTCATGGCACTTGTATAATCCCCTATGGGAAAAAACACACCAATGAAAACAGAATAGCCACATTTTGTGGTAAAGCAAACTACTACATTAGGCAGAAAGTGGGAAGTGATTAATACCCGATGATGCCGTACACACAGCATTGGAAAGTGCACTCCTCGAAATAGCCCTATTTCTGTTCATTAACTCCTCAAACTCTGCCTCACTGACTGGGGGCTGCTGGTGTTTCATGTCCCTGTAAAAGCACAATATAAAAATTGTAAGGATATTGCACACAGCTAAACAAACAAAACATAGCTGTTGATCAGAACCATTTTTTATGTTTTATTTCAAACATTAAGAAAGACTAACTGCTTTGGTTATTCTGACAACACACTATAATCTAGGTCATTGTATAATCTGTATAAATGTTATTTTGCAATGCAAAACCTAATTATTAATTTAAGTTTCCTCAAGCACTTCCCAAAAAGCCCAAATACAGTTGTAAGAAAAAGTATGTGAACCCCTTGGGATTACGTGGAATTGGGCATAAAATGTGCTCTGAACGTCATCTAAATCACAACAATAGAAGAACACAGTCTGCGGAACATAATACTACACAAACATTAGATGTTGCCATGATTTAATTGCACATAACATGGAAACATTCACAGTGCAGGGAGGAAAAAGTATGTGCGGCCCTAGCTTAATGACTTCTCCCAGAGCTAATTGGAGCCAGGAGTGAGCCAACCTTGACTCCAATCAGTGTGATGATATTGGATGTGTTGCTGACAGCTGTCCTGCCCTTAAAAAACACACACCTGTTTTGGGTTTACTGGTTTCAAGAAGCACTGTCTGATGTGAACCATGCCTCGCAGAAAAGAGCTCTCAGAAGACCTACGATCAAGAATTGTTGACTTGCATGATGCTGGAAAGGGTTACAAAAGTATCTCCAAAAGCCTTGATGTTCATGTGTCCATGGTAAGACAGACTGTCTACAAATACAGAAAGTTTAGCACTGTTGCTACTCTCCCTAGGCAAGTCGCCCTGTAAAAATGACTGCAAGAGCACAGCGCAGAATGCTGCATGAGGTAAAGAAGAATCCCAGAGTGTCAGCTAAAGACCTACAGAAATCTCTGGCACATGCTAACATTTTTGTTGACACATCTACAATAAGGAAAACATTAAACAAGAATGGAGTACATGGGAGGACACCACGGAGGAAGCCATTGCTGTCCAAAAAGAATATTGCAGCACGCTTGAAGTTTGCAAAAGAGCACCTGGATGTTTCACAGCACTACTGGCAAAATATACTGTGGACAGATGAAACCAAGATTGAGTTGTTTGGGAAGAACACACAACACTATGTGTGGAGGAAAAAAGGCACAGCACACCAACATCAAAACCTCATCCCCACTGTAAAACATGGCGGAGGGAGCATTATGGTTTGGGGCTGCTTTGCTGCCTCAGGGCCTGGACGGATTGTTGTCATTGATGGGAAAATGAATTCCAGAGTTTATCAAGACATTTTGCAGGAAAACGTATGACCATCTGTCCGCCAACTGAAGCTCCGCAGAGGACGGGTGATGCAACAGGACAATGACCCAAAGCATACAAGTAATTCAACAAAACAATGGCTGCAACAGCGCAGAATACGCCTTCTGGAGTGGCCCAGTCAGAGTCCTGACCTCAACCAGATTGAAATGCTGTGGCATGACCTTAAGAGAGCGATTCACACCAGACATCCCAAGAATATTGCTACACTGAAACAGTTTTGTGAAGAGGAGTGGTCCAAAAGTACTCCAGATCATTGTGCAGGTCTGATCTGCAACTACAGGAAACGTTTGGTTGAGGTTATTGCTGCCAAAGGAGGGTCAACCAGTTATTAAGTCCAAAGGTTCACATACTTTTTCCTCCCTGCACTGTGAATGTTTACATGTTATGTGCAATTAAACCATGGCAACATCTAATGTTTGTGTAGTATTATGTTCAGCAGACCGCGTTCTTCTATTGTTGTGACTTAGATGACGTTCAGAGCACATTTTATGCCCAATTCATGCAAAACTCCACGTAATCCCAAGGGGTTCACATACTTTTTCTTGCAACTGTACACTCCACAAAGAATCCTCCATCAGTGAAAGAAATGGGACTAACTACATTCTGTTATATTCAATCATGTTCTCACATACATTAATATGCAGCCCTCACCAAAGTAGGTTTGAATGTGATTAGAAGTTGTGATACATGTTGGGTACTATCATGTTGATTAACATGTTGGGTACTATTTTTTTTACACGAGTAATTCCGTATGTAAAAGCAGCAAGGAAAATGCTCCAGCATCACCAGCAGGTATTTTTAAGGCTCACTAGTTTACTATCAGGAGGGAAAAGGATGGACTGGTGCAATACTGCAATTTTTGGATACAAAAAGAAATGTATTCTATGAGTAGGTTATCCTTCCAGGATGCACTTCAAGGCCTAAAGCAGAACGAAGGTGCAAAATGTATATATACTAGAGTTGCACCAATACCGATATCAGTGCTGATACTATGCACCTGCATGAGTATTGGTACACGCGCAAATGCACCAATACCAAAAACCGATACCCTAAAGTTCATTTCTTTCAGCAGGATTTCCCTGCTGACAGCTGAAATGTAAAAGAAACAATGCCGGCATTCACGGGTTTCTAAGGACTGGGGCTGTCACGTTTAACAATCAATGATATTTCAGCTGTCAGCTTCCCCTTTCCCTCTCGCCAGGGCCTGAGCCAGCAAAAGGCATCAGAGGCAGGGTGCTACGATGGGGGGAGGGCCGGTAAAGTCCCCAGACATAACTTGCTGTCACAGTGACTCCGCATGGCTCCAAGCTGTCACATACCCGGCTGGAGGATGAGCCAGGTATAGGAAAAAATAGGAACCAGAGGAAGGAGGCGTAGGCAGAGGCGGAGCCTGTGTGTGGACAGCGACGATACCCCCAGCTCTCTGACCTGCACGATCTGCTACCAGGACCATGAGCAGGTAATCCATATGATGTACTGCTGGGACATCACTGTCCACCGATTTACTACACCCATCAGGGATGGAGATCCCTTCCTGTCTCCTGTGTCCAGAAGTGAACAGCACACTGGATGGGGGGGGGGGTGCTCATCAGATGACACATAGCCTGCACTGCACACACGTCATCAGACAGTACATTTGCACACATCTATGGGATAACTTTCATATCCTCTGCACTTTGATCCTTCCATATACTCATCTGACAACCCTGGCTCATTGATTATCTTATCTCCCCCCCCCCCATGCAGTGGGGCTATCCCACACTGTATGGGTTAATTTCTCATTTTTAGCTAGGGGTTCACCCCACCCAACTCCCTAACCCCCCCCCGCACACCTCCCTAACCACCCCTCTATCTACTCTCCGTAGACAATATGTATTGGTATTTTGGCATAGGTGAGTACTTAAAAAAAAAAAAAAAAAAAAAAAAAAAGTATTGATACTCATACTGTGTAAAAAAAAAAAAAAAAAAATAGTATCAGTGCATCCCTAATATATACCATGCAACAAAAACTCTAACATTTCTTAAACATAGAAGTAGTAGTTTGCAGAAATGTGGCACGCAGTGGTCAGTATCTTAGGTCCCAGCATCTGTTGGCTTGCAACTCTACAGCCTTTCACAGGGTACTGACGCTGTTACAGATTGGAGCAAGATTACATCACAATGGGCATGTCTACAATCGAAGACCAGTGTGGAGCAAAAGGTCGTAGCTTGGCACTGTAATGGCCATGCCTATGCCCCAACAACCACCTCTAGTATAGCGGAGGCTGCTACAGGGACTCTCTTCCTCCACAGAGATCGGCCAGGTATGCAATATACACAGATTGGCCAAACTGAACCAATGTTCTATGCAAAAAAAAACATACCTGGAATTCAGCTTTAAACGTTCTGTATCTTACATAGACAAAGTTTTCTTGTAATTTTCAAATCAGTAAAATCCCAATTAGTTAAAAATTAACATGACTTTTTTGTCTAGGAGTCAGGGAACATCTGTTCAGTTTCCCGTACAGCCATCCTCCACCACCTTCTTTTCAAATGTGGCATTTTTAGGGTGATATCAGCAACAGTGGCCTCCAACCTACAGTGCTAAGTTGACAAACATTTCTTATTAAAGACATCATGATACCATGTGGTGACACTCACCTTCCTGGTCCGTAGGGGTTAGGAATCAACTTGAAGGGATCAGGTGGGGGTCCTAGCACAGAACTCGGAGGTGGGAAGAAAGCAGGGTTTAGATGAAGAGCAGGAGGCACACCAGTTGGGGGAGGCATACCTAAGAGAGGTGGCAGCCTTGGTGGAGGAGGCATGAGGTGCGGATAGTGCAGAGGAGGAATTGGAGGAGCACGGTATGTAGGAGGCATTGAAGGTGAAGGAGGAGGTGGAACAGATATAGGAGGTCTCGGCAGAGTCATGACAGGGATGCGGGAAGGGCTTTCCATGAAAGGAGGCCGTGCAAAGTACGGCACTATGTTTTTAGGAGTCTCTGGGTGTGGTGATGAAGCAGCAGAGTCATTGAAGTTTGAAGAACAATCTGCTGAGTCCACAGATCCCTTTGAACTAACTCTGGGAGGAATTTCTGTAGAAAAAGAAAGGAGAAAAACAGGAAGCAGAAATTTGACATTATGTTGCAAAAGTGCGGCTCAAACTTATCACATATAACTGAAAAAGAAAACCTTGAAATGAACCTCAGGTGACAATTCAAGAACAGATCTTAATACACTCACTTCCTTCTCTGTGGATCTACTACACTGCTGCAAATCAAGCTACACATAACTCTGCCAAAACCTATAAAAGGAAGCAACATACCAAAATGAAAAATGCTTTATTGCAATAGTAAAAGCACTAAAAACACTAACCCACATAATATTGCATTGCCATGTGTATGTCGAATGGGGTGTAGTATCTTCCCTGCACAACTGAAACTCATTGACAGCAAATCAACAATCCTATGAGTCACAGGGTTTGGGGTCAGTCCTTAATACATTCAAGATTAAGAAAACTGTAATGTCATACCACTGGTGAGCACTAAAAAAAAAAAAAAAAGTAAGCAGTCCCTCAATATACATGCCCCTAGTCCCCTGTGTACAGTATGTGACACATAATTATATGCCACATAAATTACACACGCTTAGTTTAAGTAGAACAAATATTCAAGATTAATAAATTAGAAATACCCACTATTCCTACCAGATTTTCCATATTTTTCACTCCATAAGACGGACTCCCCCCCCAAAGAATGGGGGAAAAGGTCTGTGCGTCTTATGGAGCGAATATGGAACAGCCAGCCCAGTATTCTCCCCGTGTTAGAATACCGGGCTGGCTGCTCGTCTCTTCTCTGCAGACCTCTAGCAATCCCACCTGTTCCTCGGTCCAGCGGTGTCCTCAGTCTTCTCTTCCCGGCACCAGCATGGGCACTCGGCTGTGACAGCTTGCAACTTCACAGCCAGGTGCCCACTGCGCATGCGAGAGAAGCGTGCGCTTTGTGAATGGCCCTATAATCTTCTGAGACCTGTCACGTGTCCCAGCAGATTACGGGGAGGGGGGGGGGGGGAGGGGGGGGGGGGGGGGGGGGGGGGGGGGGGGGGGAGGACAACTCCGTGGAAGTGGGAGCGTGTACCTGTCAAATTCGGTTACCTGCTCCCTCCGCTCCCCAAAGGCCCATAGTCTCTGGTCATCGCCTGTGCTGTGTCCGCAGTCTCTGGTCATCGCCTGTGCTGTGTCCGCAGTCTCTAGTCATCCCCTGTGCTGTGTCCGCAGTCTCTAGTCATCCCCTGTGCTGTGTCCACAGTCTCTGGTCATCCCCTGTGCTGTGTCCACAGTCTCTGGTCATCCCCTGTGCTGTGTCCACAGTCTCTGGTCATCGCCTGTGCTGTGTCCGCAGTCTCTGGTCATCGCCTGTGCTGTGTCCGCAGTCTCTGGTCATCGCCTGTGCTGTGTCCGCAGTCTCTGGTCATCGCCTGTGCTGTGTCCGCAGTCTCTGGTCATCGCCTGTGCTGTGTCCGCAGTCTCTGGTCATCGCCTGTGCTGTGTCCGCAGTCTCTGGTCATCGCCTGTGCTGTGTCCGCAGTCTCTGGTCATCGCCTGTGCTGTGTCCGCAGTCTCTGGTCATCGCCTGTGCTGTGTCCGCAGTCTCTGGTCATCGCCTGTGCTGTGTCCGCAGTCTCTGGTCATCGCCTGTGCTGTGTCCGCAGTCTCTGGTCTTTTTTCCTGTTTTCCTCCTCTAAAATCTAAGTGCGTCTTATGGTCAGGTAGGGCTCGTTCACATCATGGTGCAGAGATGTCAGTTTTTCTAGAAGTATTCTGCAAGGGCACAACAAAATCAATTGTTCTCTATGTGCCCTGTTCACACCACAACACTAGTATCACATGCAGATTTTTTCTGCACAGGCATCTGCAACATGTATAAAACTCATTGAAGCACGCATGAAAACTGATGTCTCTGCATGTGAAATCTGTTCGTCAGTTTCCATGCATGTATGGTGTGAACAAGCCCTTAAACCTGGGGTATATGTATAACTACTGTATAAATGAACCACAGATTCTGGCTGCAGATCTCCAAACAGTCCAAAACTAACACTAACTTCTACTTGATAGTTTTTTCTTCTAGGCTTAAAGGTGGTTTTAACATAAGCCAAGCATTCCGCTATGATCTTACTCTTTCGCGCCAAATCTTCAAAAAAGGAAAGGCTCTGGCGGTTTGCTGGTCGAACATCAGGCTTCTCCCCATTTATCTTCTTGAGAGGCAACTGTTCCAAGATCTGGTTTGCAGATGTTTCTGAGGAAACCACCACTTCTGCATACCTAAGGAGGAGGAGGAAACTTTAAGACGGAATCGACACTTTTTACATTAAAATGAAAATCTCCTTTTTTCTGCATGAAAAGCATTTGGTAACATTCACAAACGTACATGTTCACATTTCATACCTCAAAATGGACTTAAGAAATTAGAAATTCTGTGTGGCCTCCAGACCGATGGAAAGGCAGGAGAAAGACTTTCCCTTTGCTTTCCTCTTTGGCTATGGGTAAGCTATTCATACATTCCTGCTTGAGAATGGAGGATAAAGGAACATTGCTCCCCATGTGTTCAACTGCCTTAAAGTACAACTAAACACAAAAATGAAAACACTTCAATTAACCCCCATATCAAAGCTAAAATCTTAAATAAAAAAAATAAATCCAGTTCCACCTAATTACAGTTTCTTTCAGCAAGAAATCTTTGCTAATTAGCACTGATTTTTGTTGCTTTCAGAAAAAAAAAAATCATCTGTTAAACACAAAAATGGCAAAAGGAGACATAAGCTGGCAATACATATAAAGAAATCCATAGAATCCATCATGGATAAAATCTCAGCTCCAGGCTATTGTATTCTGAGAGTCAGCACTGTCCTGCCTCTCCACCTTGGCTAATCAGAGAACACTTTGCATTCCCTGAGAAAAATGTAAAGCAGTATCTGAATGGCGCCCGTGTTGCACGTCTGACCTCCTGTATTTGCAGTAAGGCAGTCAGTAAGCACGGGGACCCAGAGGCTAATGGAGATCATTGGTGTACAGGTGTCTACTATAGTGATTTCCAGCTTCTAGAGGGATGCCACCGATATGGTGCATGCATTGTTAAACAGGTTCAAGCTGGGGGATGGAACACATTGGATTGGACTTTATATGTAAAGCAACAATGTCAAATCAAAAGCAATTTAGGCACCTAGAAGGCAGAAAAAACTTGAACGTCTTTGTCTCCAGGATTGATAAGGACTTTCCCTTGCTGGCCTACACATTAATAAGGTGTCCTGTAGTGATGTAGGGGTCAGCGGGAGGACCCACTGAGCATAGACACTCCTGACAGTTTCAGAGCAGTGATCAACAGTGCAGGCAGTGAGGGATGTAAGCGTTTACCTTTTTTTTTTTTTTTTTTGCAGGAAAAGCTTACTGGAGATTGTTTATGATCTGACAATGTTAATTTAAAGGCCAATTACAGCCTCCCAATGTAGTACTATAATGCAGTCAGGCTATACAGTGAGTATAGATGAGAATCACGTTTTGTTGCTTTGCAGCCTGAAATGAAGACAGACATTGTTTTTTTTATCCAGCTGTATTTACTGATATAACCCCAACATGTCAAAACATTTTTATTTTTTATTTTTAAAAGTTGATGTTTGCTTCAAGTGGAGTTCCACTTAAAAGTGGAAGCTCCGCTTATTTGACTCCTCCCCCTCCATTGCCATATTTGGCACCTTTGGGGGGGGGGGGCAGATACCTGTTTTTGACAGGTACCCGCTCCCACTTCCGGCTCAGTTCATCACGGCCAGAAGTTCACCCCCCTTCTCTCTCCTGCAGTCTCCTGAGAACTTTCACAGGTCCCAGGAGACTGCTGGACCAATTAGGAGGCGCGGCCCGACTCGCACATGCACAGTGGGCACCAGGCTGTGAAGCCACAAGCTGTCACAGACTGGTTCCCACAGTTTAGATGCCAGCACCATGGAGGAGAGAAGGGACTGCACGCAAGAACATCGCTGGACTCTGGGACAGGTAAGTGTGTGTTTATTAAAAGTCAGCAGCTCCTGATGAGGTCCTACGACGAGACATGTAGGGTTGGGCTTGATAGCGCTACACTTGTCCTCCGAGAAGGAATTGCTTTTTTCTGGGATTTAAAGTGCCATGCACATGGTTTTTATGTAAGTGTAATTTTAAACATTTTTTTACCTAATAAATACTGTGTTACGCTATGGAAGTTTCCCTTTGATGTTTTTACGGTGGTGGAGGAGTTTTGTCGCAATCGATTGATCTAGAGGTGTTTCCACTATGGAGTCTGTCATCAGCGTATAGAGGTGCCAAGACCACACAAACGGCCAACTTTTCTGCAGGAGAGCGCTGCAACATCTCATATTTGACCTACTATTCCAGGTGGTCAATTATCTCTGGTGAGTGAGGGGGAGCACTAATTGGAGCACTATGCACAGAGAATTGCTATGGATAAGATTTATTACTGTATCACTTAATATTCACACCGGATGCGAATGGGGGTTTCTTTGGCTTTTCTTTGGAACTTACAATTGTTTTGGAACTTTTATATGTTTGCACATTATTTGGACACACACACATATATTTTTTTTTTTTATACAATTTCACTGTGTACACAGTTTATGGCATTGTATATGTGCTATTTTTAGGACTATTGTCGTTTAAGCACCTTAGATTTGCTTATTGGTTTATTTAGGATTTAGTCACTGGAGAGGAAGGATATAATTGCCAGCCCACGGGGCATTACAGCACATGCACATTTGTGGCGACTCTTTGTGTAGTAGGGAGTTCATTCATTTATTACTTAAAAATTGCTGTGCTGCCTCTCCCAAAAAACTACTTTATGTCTGCACTCATACATTTGTTAACCGGTACACATTTGTGATTTTGCTAGCAGCAGCCAGTCTAATAGATTAGTCCTCTGCGCAGGTTATACACACAGTTTTTGTAGCTGATGACTTGTAGTAAACACGAAAACGCCTGGAACTCTGCTTTCAGTTGCACTACCAGGGACTGAAATGCTCCAGGAAAGCTCTTTTCATGCTGAGTTAATTTAAAATGACCACAGCTGATCATCAAATGGCTTTGTGTGCCATTGAGAAGGTGATTAGTTACACCTGACTTGAGCTTACAAATAATTTTTAGGAGAGGGGTGATCCTTTTTCTCACGGATTCTGTTTTTGAATTTTTATTTTATTTCTGCCACGTTGGTGTTATATCCTACACTTGGATGTTATAAGCTGCACTGAGTAAATGCAGCTGGATAAAACAAAAACTGTGTGTCTTAATTTCAGGCTGCAAAGCAACAAAATGTGATTAGTTTAAGGGGGGGGGGGGGGGGGGTGATTAGTTTCTATACCCACTGTAAATACCATATTAAACATGCTCTCTTTTCTATGTCTATTAGAAAGGACGTGCAGCAGTAAGGGGTTTAAAAACCCTCTGCTAGCAACACCCTTTAAAGTTGAACCACTGCTCTCACACAGAAGCGGCAGTTCAAATTTCCAGTGGTCACAACACTTTCCCCTGCATACTGCTCCAGTCAAAACTACTGCTTATATAAGTTAAGGCTCGTGTACAAGACCTAGGGCTACATCTAAACATATCATTCCAAATCAAAGCTGAACTGCCTGGTGAAAACTCATGGATGACGGATATCTCACATGGACTGGCCATATTAAAATGTCATCCTCTGCTTCCCCTATTTGACCAATGTTATTTACTGTACACGTACTAATCCTAAATTCCACTGCTGCTGGCAGAGGACAGAAACTGAAGAATTTGGCAGACTTCTTGAAGTTCTGCATGATCTAACAGACCAGTGAACAATGCTGCAGATTTTTCCACTCTGGAAGGATATAAAGTATGGAAAGGATATCCAGTGTCCATGAACAGCTGGTCAGTGTTGTGATTATTTCTAAGCATGATACTTGCATGTCAAAAGACTAGTTGTGGAAAGGTGTTTCATCTTCACAGAAGAACACCATATGTAAAATGTCACATAGGTCCCTGAATGTAAATACTCAGAGAAAAGTAAAATTGTTTCTTCGAAAAAGGGTTGTCTGTATAAAGAAAGGCCTTGAAACCTACCCTTGAGTGAGTCTTAAAACCTGTTCCACCACACTTCGAAATAACTAAAACTGGAATGTGTGCAAATAATGGCTTACTCAATTCTTCTTCAAAGGGGAATACATTTAGAACAATGGTCCCTACTTTTGTGAAAATATACCATGTCCTCCGCCACCAAGAGATTAAAATAATTGCCTCCTCGAATGTCCTTTTCATCTTAAATGGCCAATATGTAGTAACAAATGGTCTCTTATTTCCGATTACTATATGGTCTCATAGATGAACATCAGCCAGTTTCTCTTTGCTTTGACATAGCTTGTACATTCCAATTCATTCACAGTTCACCATTCCATGTGAAAGGATACACTAGGATCCCTACTTTAAAATGATGTTAGGCCCTCAGACTTTAAGCAGTTTCAGCAGCTGATTTAACCACTGAGTATGCAGCTTCTTTATCTTTTATTCCTTACACGTGTTCCAATATGGCTCCTGCCAGGACCATTGCCCCAGGTTTCCTGTTTTAGGGTGTCTCTTAGCTCTTTGTAGCATGGAGCCACCCTGTCATGCAGGGACTACATTTGCAGCTTACCAATCCGTAGATGTGGCAGATGCATTTTTCTTTTTCTGGCTTCCTTCCCACAGTTTTCACCTTGTGAACTTGCTAGCAACACACCTCCTGTATTATGGTGCCTCCACTCAGGATAAAGGTTTTACATGAATAAAAATTTGTCCCAGGCATGGATAAAAGTTTTGAGAATGACACAAATATTAATTTTCACCAAGTCTGCTGCTTCAGGTGTTCCTTTTGTCAGATATTACTATGGTATACTGAAGTATAATTACAAGCATTTCTTAAGTGTCATAGGCTTTTATAGACAATAACATTAAATTTATGCAAAGAGACAGTGTTGACCCTTCTTTTTCAAGACCTTTGCTATTCACCCTGGCATGGTGTCATTCAAATTCTGGGCCATATCCTGACTGATGGCAGCCCATCCTTGCATAATCAATGCTTGGAGTCTGTCAGAATTTGTGGGGTTTTTTTTTGTTCACCCGCCTCGACGATTGACAAGTTCTCAATGGGATTAAGGTCTGGGGAGTTTCCTGGCCATGGACCAAAAGTTTCAATGTTTTGTTCCCCAAGCCACTTAGTTATCACTTTTGCAAGGTGCTCCATCATGCTGGGAAAGGCATTGTTCCTCACCAAACTGTTCTTGGATGCTTAGGAGAAGTTGCTCTAGGAGGATGTTTTTGTACCATTCTTTATTCGTAGCTGCGTTCTTAGGCAAAACTGTGAGTGAGCCCCCACTCCCTTGGCTGAGAACCAAACCTATGAATGGTCTCAGGATGTTTTACTGTTGGCATGACACAGGACTGATGGTAGCACTCACCTTTTCCTCTCCGGACAAGTTTTTTCCAGATTCCCCAAACAATTGGAAAAGGGGATTCATCAGAGACAATGACTTTACCCCAGTCCTCAGCAGTCCAATCCCTGTATCTTTTGCAGAATATCAGCGTGTCCCTGATGTTTTTCCTGGAGAGAAGTGGCTTCTTTGCTGCCCTTCTTGACACTAGGCCATCCTCCAAAAGTCTTCGCCTTCCTGTGTGTGCAGATTCACTCACACCTGAGCCAGCGCTGCACTGGTGGTGCCCCAATCCTGCAGCTGTATCAACTTTAGGAGACGGTCCTGGTGCATGGATGTCCGATTCCTATCACCTGACGCCCGGGGCATGTAGTTCCAGGCATCGAGCAGGTAGGTTTTTTTTCCTACCTTTAGTCCAGGCAAGCAGTCGGCTCATCTGTCAGATGGATGCATTCAGGCGGCACCGCTGCCGCCCAATTGCTTCCACACAGCCACGTCCGCTCCCCTCCCCTTCTTGTCCTGACCCAGAAGTGACGTTATGATGTCATTTCCGGGTCCCCGTTGAGAGATTCCCGGCCATGGAGGCGGGGAAAGAAAGTAATGTGCGCCACATTACTTTAAGTGAAGCACAGGGGAGACATGCAGGGTCTTTTAGACTCCGAACACCTCAATAAAGATAACCTGTCACCCAAAAAAATATTTCTTTTTAATTGTAAAAAATTAAAGTTACACACAAGCACATACCACCCCTCTCCCCCCCCAAAAAAATTTGAGACCCCCACATATACACACAAACGTAAAAGCACACGCAGGGGCGCCTACGCATGAAAACGATCCACATATCGCTGCTCATGCCAGATTGAGAGCAATAATTCTAGCACCAGACCTCCGTAACGCTAAACTGATGACCTATAAGGGGCTTTAAAAGTGTCAACCTATAGAAAATATAGGGTACTAAAGTTCGTAGCCATTTCACGAGCGCACACAAATTTAAGGTTAGATTAAGTTGGATATCTATTTTGCGGTAATATCATGCAACATACAAAATTGGAACTACTGCTATTTTATTCTCTAGGTTCTCTGCTTTCAGAAAATATATGTTAGGGGTTTTATGTAATCTTCAGGCCTAAAATGATTTTTTAAACGTGTGCAAAAATGGCTCTGGCACCGAAAGGGATAAAGGATAAGCTGGACACTCCCCTTTCCTGAGGAGCAGCCAATCAGTGCTCATTACACTGCAAGGTTTCTCTCCTCCCTGCCAATCCCCGGGTGCGGTGCTGGAGACAGGCAGGGATGGGAGGAGGAGATAAACAGCGCAATGTTAAAAATATTTAACGGTTAAGTCGCCATAAAGCCCCTTTCGTTTTTAAAAGTCCCAGACCTTCCTAATAAAACCTCCGATTTAAATACAGTTTTAGTTAAAAAAAAAATTTTTTTTAATCTGGACAAGTAGATTGTTATGAGGAAAAGTAGATTGGGACACCGATTTAGTTCGTGGACAAGTAGTTTTTTAAAACATTTCCACACCCTGTCGTGCTCGCTGGTCTTTCTTGGGCGCCCTGAAGCCTTCTTCATAACTGAAGCTCTCTCCATAAAGTTCTTGATGATCCAATAAATGGTTGATTTAGGTGCAATTTTAGTAACAGCAATATCCTTGCTTTTAAATCCCTTTTTCTTCAAAGCAATGAAGACCGCATGTGTTTCCTTGCAGTTAAATACTTGTGTAATTCTCAACACTTTTGGCCAGGGCTGTAAGCACCACTGACAGTGGTTTACACCCTGTAACTGCTACATCTACAGGACCATTTGTTCTGTTGAGAAACAGATTTACTGGCCGGATCACTGGGTGAAAAAAAAGGAAAGGAAGCCTAAAAAAGAAAATGAATGCAGCCACCACATTGGTAAGCTGCAATATAATAAATGTATACATTTGGGTTTAATACCGCTTTAAAAAAGCAATGGAAACAGAATTTACCTAGTGCTGGCTACTTACAGGCAGATTTCTTATATTTGATGGCTAAGTCCATCTTCATAAAATAAATAAATCCATCCACACTGATTAACCCCTTCCCGCCGGCGCCTCCCGGCCCTTTAAGAGTTTCAGAAGCCGGGACGGGGTTTAGGGATCATGTGACCGCTGTCACGCGTCGCCACGGCAGTCACATGATCGGGAAAGGTCCCAATCGAAAGAGCAGACCGGGACCTTTTCCGTGAGTAGCGGACATGTGTGCTAACAGCGCAGGGTGCACGCTCTCAGCACATATGTTTTTTTTGCTAATTGCACAAATGTGAGGCCGCTCAGCATCTAGGCCCAGACGCCGGGAGGCCGCACATTTGTGTGCGGCTGGCGCGAAGAGGTTAAATAAAATGTGCATTCATTTTTACACTGGAGCCCCGCATTGCAATTGCATCACTGGATTGCAGATATGATGCTCAGGCTCCTGCAGACTTTCTTCTAGCAGTAAATCCATATGGAGATGTGAACTTTCGGTTATGAGGCTATTGGAAGTATCAATGGACTTCAAGATGACATTACTGCACTTGTGCTCCATGGAGATCTGTCTGGCATGGTGGTAGATGGGACATGTAGAATATTCATTCACAGACACCCACAGCCGCAACAAAATTTAAATAAGGAGAGAGAAGAAACATTCTATTCAATAAGTGGGTGGGGTTTATAGGATGTGTTGAGTTACACCCTAATCATGGGTGTACACTGAAACATGATCAGAAAGGAGGGCTTGAGTTTAAATAAATAAATTAAATGACCATTGACACCACAAAGATATAGCATAAAGAAACTTATTTGTGAATGTTACAAAATGCTCCCTTTTTTAAACCTTTACAAAACATAGTTTATTAAACAATATTCGTTTCTCACCCTTTGGACTGGCCATTTGCACGGTTCTCTGCAAATTTCACTTCAATAGGATCACGGATACCAAGGGACCGGATGGCAGCAATGAGCTGCTGATCTGTTGTCCACTAATAAATCAAAACACACAGGAATGGATTAAAAGCAGAAATAGCAGTTTAAAAGGCAAAGCCTAAATATAGAAAAAGACTTCCATACTGAAGGTTCTTACGTAAGAACTGTCTGTGGTTCTCCACTGCAGCCACATTTAAATTATAACTAGAAAATGAATGGAAGTGGAGAAAGGCAGTTTCAGTGTAACCAACTTCTGTGGGACTGTGTAGTACAGTGGTTCTCAACCTGTGGGTCGCGACCCCTTTGGGGGTCGAATGACCTTTTCACAGGGGTCGTCTAAGACCATCAGAAAACACATATTTCTGATGTGTAAAGAGCAGCTACTGTGTAGAAAGCAGCAGCTGTGTTGAAAGCAGCTACTGTGTTAAAAGCTGCTACTATGTTGAAAGAAGCAGTATTGGAGGTAAAAATGACACTTCATGAATTATAATTACTGGGTAAATAATTTTATGGTTGGGGGTCACCACAACATAAAGAACTGTGTTAAAGGGTCACGGCATTAGGAACGTTGAGAACCACTGGTGTAGTAGAAGACATTCCAATCCACTGGAGCATCATGAGATTTCAGCTATTTGGTTTTCCCTGAATATAGCCAAAAGAATTGTGATGTCCTCACCTAGGTGCCAGAAAATGGGGGCTAGGCAAATATAAGAACTCTTTTCCTTTAAAAGGTACATTTTAAGCCTAAATAACAGTAAGTGATTTTTGAAGGGGAGAAGGGGACTGGGCAGTGGACCTGGGTACATTACAGCAGAACTTCACCCAAAGGGGAAGTTCTGGATTAAAAATCAATAAACAGAAAATGCTGTACAATAAACCCTCAAAAACTATGTGCAGCCCAAAACCTATAAGTCCAATCTTTAAATCAAATTCTTCTCGTGTTCAAAAATTCCTCCGATAATATACCTCAAAAAGAAAAAAATATTCACATAGTGCATTAATCCTTTTATATATATCCAAATAATAGTGACTTCACTCAAGTGAATACCCAATCACATTAATCAGTGAAAAAGTGAACAAAGTGAAAAAAAAACTGTGAAGCCAAAATAATGAAAAACCACGTGAATGTGAATCACTCTTCAGTGCTCTAATCCAACCAGCACTGTGACACTTCTAAATAAGAAATGCATACCCTTACCAATATTCAGAAAAAAAGAAGCTTTTTCATATATCTTTCCCAAAGGAAGGTGGGAGACAGTCCTCCTATTGGTCTTTACTCCGTATAGTCTGCCTTCATATTAAGGGATCCCTTATGATTAAGTCGATGACGAAACGCGTCAAGGGAAGTGACGTCAACGTGCACACGAGAACCGGAAGTTGACGGCGGCCATTTTGGATGAGGGAGGATCGTCTGATTTCCCCTGGGCACTTCCTGGATTGCAGTAAAATACTTTTAAATACCTTTTAAAGCGGTTTTATGCTGTCAAAATGTGAGCACCTTAATTAAAGTTATTTTTAAGATTGGTTCTGGCAGTATTATGCTATTTGTGTTTCCTGTATACTTATATTTATATGGAATGGATATATGGAGTTTCAAGGCTGGTGGATCTTGATGATAATATGAAGGCAGACTATATGGGAGTAAAGACCAAATAGGAGGACTGTCTCCCACCTTCTTTTGGGAAAGATATATGAAAAAGCTTCTTTTTTTCTGAATATTGGTAAGGGTATGCATTCCTTATTTAGAAGTGTCACAGTGCTGGTTGGATTAGAGCACTGAAGAGTGATTCACATTCACGTGGTTTTTCATTATTTTGGCTTCACAGTTTTTTTCACTTTGTTCACTTTTTCACTGATTAATGTGATTGGGTATTCACTTGAGTGAAGTCACTATTATTTGGATATATATAAAAGGATAATGCACTATGTGAATATTTTTTCTTTTTGAGGTATATTATCGGAGGAATTTTTGAACACGAGAAGAATTTGATTGAAAGATTGGACTTATAGGTTTTGGACTGCACATAGTTTTTGAGGGTTTATTGTACAGCATTTTCTGTTTATTGATTTTTTGTACATCTTTTGGGGTGAAGGTGTTGGTGGTGCTGTGGGGAATTGTATTTAATTTTTTAGGAGAGTGTTTTTTTTTATTCTAAGTTCTGGATTAAGTCCTCCCCCCATTCTCTCCCATTTTAAGCAAGTCATTTTGGGGGAAACGGGTACCTAGTTTTGACATGTGTCCGCTCCTACTTCCGCTCAAATCGCCTAAGCAATCAGAGTGGAAGTTCTCCTCCCTCCCTGCAGTCTTCTGGGTCACATCACAGGTCCCAGAAGACCGCAGGATCATTCACAAAGTGCAGTCGGCTGTGAAACTGAAAGCAGTATAGCCAGCTGCCACATTTAAGATGCTGTCACCCGGGAAACCCAAGGCTAGTGAAGAAGAGGCCTAGGCGAGGACGCTGCTGGATCCCTGAACAAATGACGACAGGTGTCCTTTTATTAAAAGTCAGCAGCTTTAGTATTCATAGCTGCTGACTTTTTTTTTTTTCCCCAGACTGAACACTTTAATGCAAGGTTTGCTTTAATGGGTTTTTGAGCTGGAGTGCTCATTTATTTACATTGCTAAATCTTTGTTATACTGGCGAGTACTTTGGCTGGGCACCTGTTGACTTTTTAGGAATTCCAGTCTCCTGGATTGTCCAGTGGTGAACTGTCCTGCTTTGCTACATTCCTTTGAAAGTTCTTTCAGACATTGTGATATATAGAATACATATTTTGCTTCTACAATGGAGAGGGAAAGTCAGCTGATGTAAATCTATAACTTTGAATACAATGTATACTGCATATTGAATGTGGGATCCCAAGCAAAGAGAATTACATTCTGTTGGTAGGTAAAGAGGCACATTCTTACACATTTTGATCAAAGTGTCTGAAATAAGCAAGCAAAGAGAATTACGCTTTCTAGTACTAGTTTAAAGAGACCCTGGCACCAGACCATTCATTTTATCAAAAATCTTTCTGAAGATCTTATGTACATTTACCTTTAACCACTTCCCGTCCGCCCGCTGTTTATAAACGGCAGGACGGTGTCAGTCCAGGGGGTGGGTTGCCGTTCATAAATGGCACCCGCAGTTTCAAGCCGTGCGCGCTCCCTGGGAGTGCGCAGCACCACGATCCGGCGCCCTCTGTGTCCTCTGGACACAGTGGAACACCGATCGTCGGACGGGACCTCTGTGCGAGGTCCCAATCATGTGATCACAGATTGCCCAATCAGTGATCACATGCAGAGTAGTGAGCAAAATGTCACTTCTGACATCATTGCTTACTACATGTGAAATCTGTGAATGATCACAGAGGTCACATGGTACAAGGCTATTCACAACAGCCTTGTACCATGTGACAAGCTGTGACCAATCACAGCTCACACAGTAGTTCTCAATGGCTGCAAGAATGCAGCCAGAGAGAAGGAGAAATGATTGCTTTTACATCCTTTATGGGTGTAAAAGCAATCAGTGTGAAGAAAAAAAAAATCACCTCCTCCCACAAGTAGTACAGTGTCACCATGGTGACACTGTACTGCTAGGGCATCAGTATGTAAAAATAAAAAAAAAATTAAAAATTAAAAATGTTTTTTTAAAAAAAAAAATTATAATTTGTGCTTATAAACTAATTTGGGTTATTTTTTTTTTTTTACTAAAAAGATAACTGAATACATTTTGGCCAAGATTTATGAGGAAATATTATTTATTTGCAAAATTTTATAAGAAAAACACTTTTTTCAAAATTTTTGGACTTTTTCATTTATATAGCAAAAAAATAAAAATCCCAGTGGTGAATAAATACCACCAAATTAAAGCTTTATCGTCTCAAAAAAATGCTAAAAAATTCATATGGGTACAGTGTTGCATGACCGCGCAATTGTCATTCAAAGTGTGATAGCACTGAAAGCTGAAAATTGGCCTGGGCAGGAAGGGGGTGAAAATGCCCTGTAGGAAAGTGGTTAATGACTGGCATAAGTACCACTGGATTGGCATAAGGCCAATGTGGTGTCAATATTTTAAAAGGGATCAAAATCTTTACCAAGTAATTATAGACCTGTTAGTTTAACTTCTATAGTTAGGAAGATACTGGAGAGTTTAATAAAAGACTGCAAATTTCTAAATGTTTTTTTTATTTACTGTTAGAAAACATATCCAATAGAAAAAAAAACGTAAAAAAATTAAAATAAATTCCCACGCCCGACTGCAGGACTTCTCCAGGACTTCCCCCATCCTCTGGAACTCCCTACCCCAATCCATCAGACTGTCACCTACCCTCCTCACCTTTAGGCGCACCTTGAAAACCCATTTCTTCAGGGAAGCCTACCCCACCCTCACCTAACAGCCGATCTCCTCCACTCCACCTACCACTCCATCCCCCACAGCCACTTCCTCCTGCACCACTTTCCCCTCCCTCCTAGATTGTAAGCTCGAAAGAGCAGGGCCCTCGAACCCCTCGTGTACTGTTTTGTTACTGTATTGTCTCATGTTCTGTCCCCCACTATAATGTACAGCGCTGAGCAAACCTTTCCGGCACTATATAAATACTGTATAATAATAATATCACTAATAATGACACTGGCTGGGAATGGTTTAACATCTAGGGGCAATCAAGGGGTTAAATGTGTGCTTACTAATGCTTACTCTTTGTAGAATGGGTCAGTTTTTACTCCCTGCTTTGCAGGGAGAAAAATAAAAAAGGGCACATCGCTGCTGTCTTTAGAGAGCCCTGTGTTCTTTACAACACAGGGCTCTTTTCTGTCATTCGCTGAGCCGATCACCCAGTTCTGGCCATAAATGATTGGCAGGGACCCGTTAATTAGCATGTGCTGTAGAAAATGACAGCTCAGCTGGGGTGGTGGCAGTATAACTGCGGTAGGCAGTCGCCAAGTGGTTAATGTTGGGAGTCTGACATGTGTGGATGTTGCATAATTTAGTTTCTAACATTTTAGAATGGGGTGCCTCAAGATCATTCATAATGTAAAAAGGGTGCCTTGACTGGATAAGTGTTGGAAAAACATTGGTGTAGACATCAAAAAGGCCCCAAGATTGCTACTGGGCACCACCATTTTTGATGTGATTCCAGCTACCCCAGCCCACTCAAGGTTGACACTCAATAGTATTCCTCTTTACTACTGCCTTGGCAGCTAAATGGTAGTAATGTGAGGGGAGGAGTAAAAGCCCTGGGCTGGCACAGAATAATTAGAGTCTTCCAAAAGTAGAGAGAGCTAGGACATGCAAAGAGGGAGGGGACTGTGTGAACTTACTAGTTGACTTTTTTTTTAATAAGTTCAAAAGCACATTGCAAATTAATTAAAAAATCGTGAACAGAAATGGATAAAAATAAGAATTCAAAATACTTGACTTTACTGTGTTTTTACCTCCAATTCTTTTAATTTGGGGGTAGGGCCTACCTAAAACTCTACATATAGTTCCTAAATACTTTGAGAGCAACATTAAACTTTCCCAACTCATAAAAACAAGCCTAGTGCATGGAGCATCTTCATTTAGAGGCCCCTCTCTCCATGATCCATCTCCAAACTACTGTATACTGAAAGTAGAGGGGATAGATGTCTGTCACAGTAGAGCACCATAATCTAACTTAGAAAACTCTATTGGGATTTTATGTGATAGACCAACACAAAGCGGCACGTAATTGTGAAGTGAAAGGAAAATTATAAATAGTTTTACAAATAAATATGTGAAAAGTGTGGCGTGCATTTGTATTCAGCCCTCCGGAGTCATTACTTGGTAGAACCATCTTTCGCTGCAATTACAGCTGCAAGTCTTTTTGGGGATGTCTCTACCAGCTTTGCACATCTAGAGAGGGACATTTTTGCCCATTCTTCTTTGCAAAATAGCTCAAGCTCTGTCAGATTGGATAGAGAGCGTCCGCGAACAGCAATTTTTAAGTCTTGCCACAGATTTTCAATTGGATTTAGGTCTGGACTTTGACTAGGCCATTCTAACACATGAATATGCTTTGATCTAAACCATTCCATTGTAGTTCTGTCTGTATGTTTAGGGTCGTTGTCCTGCTGGAAGGTGAACCTCCATCCCATTCTTATGTCTTTTGCAGACTCTAACAGGTTTTCTTCTAAGATTGCCCTGTATTTGGCTCCATCCATCTTCTCAACTCTGACCAGCTTCCATGTCCCTGCTAAAGAAAAGCATCCCCACAACATGATGCTGCCACCACGTTTCATGGTGGGGATGGTATGTTCAGGGTGAAGTGCAGTATTAGTTTTCCGCCACACACACAGCGTTTTACTTTTAGGCCAAAAAGTCCAATTTTGGTCTCATCTGACCAGAGCACCTTCTTCCACGTTTGCTGTGTCCTCCACATGGCTTCTCGCAAACTGCAAACAGGACTTCTTATGGATTTCTTTCAACAATGGCTTTCATCTTGTCACTCTTCCATAAAGGCCAGATTTGTGGAGTGCACGACTAATAGTTGTCCTGTTGACAGATTCTCCCACCTGAGCTGTGGATCTCTGCAGCTCCTCCAGAGTTACCATGGGCCTCTTGGCTGCTTCTCTGATAAATGCTTTCCTTGCCTGGCCTGTCAGTTTAGGTGGACAGCCATGTCTTGGTAGGTTTGCAGTTGTGCCATACTCTTACCATTTTCGGATGATGGATGGAACAGTGCTCTGTGAGATGTGCAAAGCTTGGGATATTTTTTTTTATAACCTAACCCTGCTATAAACATATCCACAACTTTATCCCTGACCTGTCTGTTGTGTTCCTTGGCCTTCATTATGCTGTTTGTTCATTAATGTTTTCTAAACCTCTGAGGGCTTCACAGAACAGCTGTAATTATACTGAGATTAAATTACACACAGGTGGACACTTTACTAATTAGGTGACTTCTGAAGGCAATTGGTTCCACTAGATTTCAGTTAGGGGTATCAGAGTAAAAGGGGGCTGAATACAATTGCACGCCACAAATGATGAAAACCATTTATCGTTTACCTTCCACTTCACAATTATGTGCCACTTTGTGTTGGTCTATCACATAAAAAAATCCCAATATAATACATTTATGTTTTTGGCTGTAACATGACAAAATGTGTAAAATTTCAAGGGGTATGAATACTTTTTCAAGGATATATATATTTGAGGCACTTTGCACCTTATTATATATGCATTATATTTTTTCGTATTTATGTAATTTACTAGTACTATAAATTAATTTAGTGCTATTTTGATGTTTTGTTTTTTTTTTGACACATTTTGTATCACAAATTGCACAATGGCAGCTTTATTCTTTGTATTTTCCCCAGCGCAGATTATTTGATTTTTTGCACTTATTGAGCAAATAAAATACTTTCAATGGTATATGAAGTAGACTAAAAGGAATCAAATAGAAGATCATTGATAGCCACTTTAAAAGCTCATATCACATGACATCTCAGAATTCTACTACCTATACCAAAGGAAATCTCTGCAAGAGTGTGCTTGCATAACCTCTGGTATCCTTATAATATATTCTATGTGCAGTATTTTATTACTGCTATACAGTATCTCTGTACTTATTCTCACCCTAGATCAGCAACTGCAAGCATGTGGCATACATCTGAAGTATACAGTATTATTATAAACACAACTAGTTGTCAAAGCTGCCAGTTAAAAGGCTTAGAGATTACCTCTCACTCACCCATGAAAAGTTTCCAATATATACAGAAGCCTTCTTGCGCACATTGTTGTAGGTGTACAAAATGGCGGGCGACTTGTTGTTTGATTTGGCAGAGGTAGCCTGTATAGGGGAGGTGGGCTCCGGAACATTGCTCTTCCCATCTGGATGAGATGACCCAAGAGAGGCCACTGCCAAGACATCGTCATATAGGTCAACCTGCTCTGCAGCAAACTCAGCTTCCTGTGGAAAGATAATACAGTTGTCAGTCAGTAATTGTCTCTCAACTTTATAAAACATTAACAACTGCAGAAGCCACAGTTCAACACATTGTCACTGTCAGAAGAGTTGATTTCCTTGTGCACTTCATGGGTTCTATTTAGTGGCAGGGGTGGTAGAAGAGTTACGGCTCCTTCTGACCATGGAGAAGTTAGAGCCGGTTCACACTATAGTAACACAGTCCAGATGTGTTCCGGATGTGTTTCATCATGCGTGTTTTTGTGCGTTCTTGATGCGTTTTCCCGTGTTCCAGTGCAGTTCTGTGCAGAAAAAATGCAGCATGTTCTACTTTTTTTTTCTGTAAACGAAATGCAAAAGAACTGCAAGCACTGATGTGAATTGACACTGACAACCATATAAACTACTTTCTGTGAGTTTAGGATCAAAGTGGATGAAAATCAAAAAAAAAAAAAAAAAAAAAAAATCAAATATTTTTTTTATTTAAATCAGATTTTTTTTATATTATCAAATTTATTTTAACAAAATGCTTTTGGAGTAAAAATATATCTAAAGATAGTTTTCTATGTAAGATACATTAATACCTTAGTTTATTCAGCATGAAATGGAGCTTAGTTATGTAGTGAGGCTGTATATGCTGCAATATTTACATTTTTTGTAAACTCATTCAATGAAACCAAGCACTGCAAGCTGAGATAACATGCACTGCATTGATGCATTCACACAATTTCACAGTAACCATGAGAAAAAAACGTGAAATAAAAGAATTTGAATAGTTCAACCATAGTAACATTGTACTACTTTGGGGAAGTGATCAGTATTTTTTTTCTACACAATTTGCTTATAGCAAAGAATTACTTTGCTATAAGCAAGCATTTACCTGAATGACTTCGATTCATTCAGGGTTTTTTTTTTTTTTTGTGCTTAGCTGTGACCATTCACAGCTAGACACTAGTATACAATGGATGGCATGAATGAAGCCATCCATTGTATACAACTGTCATGTGACCTGCAGTGATTGGTCACAGCAGTTTACATGGTTACGGCAACGGGGGCCGATACTCAGATCTGTCATCGGCCGTGCCAGAGGTGCATGGCCGGCGACAGATCGCGCCGCTGCGCGGCTGCTCTGCAGGAGCACAATCTGCGCATGTGCGGGAGGACGCCATATGGTGTCCACCCCGGAACGCTGATGACATTTGCCAGCCGCCATTCGGCCATAGGGCGGGCGGCAAATGGTTAACACAGGCAATTTACAGGAATGGGCTTGGTAAGAAATGGACTGTTACAAGGTTGCTTTAGCAGACAGTCAGCTGAACGGCTCTATTGAGATGCTGTGTACTGCACATGCAAAGAACCCTCTGACCTCTGCTCATGGCATTCACTGAACCCAATAAGCTGCAGGGAAACGCAGGTTAAGAATATACTGTAAATGGGCTGTAACTTCTGATCACCTTCTGAAAAAGCTAGATGACTGGTTATCATATAGGTTTTGATGTTCTATACTTCTGCTAGGCTGGCTATGTTAAGTCTAGTACACATGATGATCGTCCATTTTTTTTTTTTTTGCATTCTAGTCTCATATTGAAAATAAAGAGGCTACGAAAGTTACGAAAATTCTCTTATGACAGAAATACAACTTTGGAAGCGATGTATTGTAATGTATTCTTTCGTTTCTGAGCATGTCTGGTCTTGGCCACCTGAATTTTTATGGACAAATACTGCACTGATTAAACAAAAATCAATCACTGTTATGCTACAATTTTTGTACTCGTCCCTTCGGATAATTTTGCATGAACTGTCGTGATAGTCTTTCGAAAGGTGTGTACCAACGAGAGAAGATTATCGGACAATTGCTCTGAAAGTGGTACTATTATTATTATACAGTATTTATGTAGCGCCAACAGTTTCGCTCAGCGCTGTACATTACAATGGGAGACAATACATGAGACAGTACAATAACAATACAATGCGAAACACGAGGGGTTCGAGGGCCCTGCTCCTTGGAGCTTACAATCTACTATTTGTCCGATATTCATGTGTACGGGCCTGCAGCTACATAGCCTTTGCAAAGAAAACTTACTGGCTCTTTTTGTAAACGCATGCACACACAACTTACCCATTCACTCCTATAGGTGAGCTATACTTCTCTGGGAGGCTGGAGGTCATGAATACATCTCACCCATAAGAATGAATAAATATTACCATGGCAGGAAGATGACCTGGCTAGGATGCTTTCTTTGCAAAGGCTGTGTGGTGCAAGGTATGGCTGTAGAAAACAGGAAGGAGGTTTGGGTTTTTTTTTTTTCCCAAAGTAATTTTCTTTTTTAAAAAAGTAATTAATAAAAAAAAAAAAAAAAAAAAAACTGAAGTAGTTCTTTATATTTTACAAATGCACATATGCAGCGGTTTTACAAACACACAGGTGAGATCTGCAAAAAATTGGTACACACAAAATCTGGTGCAGCTGTGAATAGTGATCAGCTTGTAACTTCAGGCTGTTCAATTAAGGCTCCATTCACACTTGTGCGACTACGGACATCAACGTCGCATTACAAGTCACAGCCCATTCTTTCCAATGGCTCCTGTTCAAACTGATGAGATTTAAAGTCACAATTTAAAAAAGGAGCCTGCACTACTTTAGTGTGACTTTAATGCAATTTTATTCCAGAAAATGTAAAGTCAGATCAAAGTGAAGCTCCAAAGTCGCACTGGAAATCGTGCGACTTTGGACACAAGCTAATGTGACGTTTTCGCAATAAAACTGGGAAACGGATTGGTTACTATGCACAGCTGCACCAGATTCTGTGTGCACAGGTTTTAGTAAATCTCTCCCACAATCTCATTCCCTTTCCATTATGTGTTTTTATAAAATATTTACCTGTATACCTACGGTATCTGCATACTATCTGTTGTTTTTGTTTTATAACCACATTGTGGTCTCAGTTTGTGCTGCAAAGCTCTATAATAAAGCTCATTCTTACCAAGAGATTGCTAAGGACTTTGTTAAAATGAATCCCAAGGCACAAAAAAAAAAAAAAAAAAAGACAAAAAACAAAACAAAAACATTACATCTCTAGACAACATACACACGTCCCTGTGTTTTATCTCTTTCAACATGCTGCAAACACAGGAAAATAACTGTTGATGTGTCAGAAACAGTGTACTCCTACCTTCCTCTGTAACAACACAGCTCTGAATCCCTAAGCACATGGTGTCAGCCCTGCCTACTTCAGTTCCGATGTACCACAAAGACCACAGACCTCTCCTTATCCCCTTACCCTGTTCATCTCCATAAGCCCCCCTTGTTTACTGGCAGACAGCATTGAAAGTTATCAGCTCACATGATTTCTGGCAGGATCAACAGGTATTTTTTGCACTTACTGAACAGATATAACAAAATACTTCCAACATAATAATTACAAGAGCAAAATGAGGCAAATAAGAAGTTCACTGTCAGTAGTTACATATATTTAACCATTTGCCCTCCTGAGGATTTACCCCCCTTCCTGACCAGGCCATTTTTATGCAATACAGCGGTGCGTTACTTTAACTGAAAATTGCGCGCGGTCATGCAATGCTGCGCCCAAATGAAATTTATGTTCTCATTCCCCACAATTTAGAACTTTCTTTCTGTGGTATTTGATCGCCTCTTTGTTTTTTTATTTTTTGCGCTATAAACAAAAAAAGACCAAAAATTTTGGGAAAAAAAAAATATATTTTTGACTTTTTGAAATAAAACATATTCAGTAAAAAAATTTAAAAAAATCAAATTTTGTCCTAAATTTAGGACACAATGTATTCTGCTACGTCTTTGCTTAAAAAAAAAAAACCCAATACATGTAAATTAATTGGTTTATGTGAAAGTTATAGCTTCTACAAATGGCGGTATATATACTGGAATTTTTTTTATACTAGTAATGGAGGCGGACAGCAACTTATAGTGGGGCTGCAGCGAGCATTCTGACACTGACATCCCCAGTGACACTCATACAGTGATCAATGCTAATAAAAAGCACTGACACTGTACTAATGACACTGGGCAGGAAGGGGTTAACATCTGGGGTGATCAAAGGGTTAACTGTGTGCCGTTTTACTATATGCTAGTTACTTTATACTGTGGTGTGTGTGTTTTACCTTGTTAGCATGTTGCTTTGTATTGCTCTGCTATGCAGAGCAAAACAAAGCAGCATGCTGGAGCTTACAGGGGAAAGATCTGTATTGTTTACATAGAGACCTCTCTCCCCTGTTCTTCGGCGATTGCCGGAGGGGAATCTCCAGCCAGGACCCGGTGATCAACAGCTGTAGCCACCAATGGCGGTGTGCCCCCTACCTGGAAATTCCAAATTACGTGTGTATATATGTATATATATATATATATATATACACACACACACACACATATACATACACACACACACACTTGATTTTACACAACCCTGCAGCAGTATTTGTGCTATAGGGCGGTGGGGAAGCAGTAAGCTTGTAGAAAAACAAAATGGGGTGTTCTACTGGTGAACCATTATGTGTTATCAGTCATGGATAGCATGCCACTAAAGCAAAACTCACGCCAACAACCAAAGGATAAAAAAGACAAAAGATAAAATAAGAAAACCAGTTTCTACTGCAATAATAACCTTCAATGCAGAAATTTCCCTGCAGCACTTTGTTTCTGCTACTAGATGCCCTCAGCTCAATTGTTGGTACAGTTGTGCTCAAAAGTTTGCATACCCTTGGAGAATTGGTACCATTTGCTACTGTTTTTAAAGAGAACATGAGTGAGCAGGAAAAACACATTTCTTCTATTTCTTATGGGATTCATTGTCAAGTGTAGGTCATAACAGAATGGCACAATCGTAAAACATAACATGGCAACAAATGAAATGCCCCCTGTTCAAAAGTCTGCATACCCTTAGTTCTTAATACAGTCTATTGCCCCTTTAGCATCAATCGCAGTGTGCAGTCTTTTATAACAGTTGTCTATGAGACCTCGAATTCTTGCAGGTGGTATATATAGCTGCCCATCTGTCTTGGTAAAATGCCTCCAGTTCATGCAAAGACTC